TCATCATTCCTTGGTCTCATCTATCTTCACTTTGCCCCTCCTCTCACCTCTGCTCGGCGCTCCCGTCGCCCCATCTCTCCCATATTTTCTTTTTGTTTGCCTTCCTTCCCTTGTTGTATTCTACTGTCATACGTTCTTTGAAGATACCCAGTCGTTTCTGCTTGTCTACGACCGCATTGCCGTGCGCTGGATGATTTGCCTCCGAGCTTGGGTGCTTCATTGAAACCTGACGACTACTACGACGACCACGACGCAAGGACGCTCCTTTCTTCCTATACATCCTACGCCTGTATCGCTTGCGAATATCTTTTTTTTTAACAAATTCCGCCATGGGTGTTCCCAAGTTCTTCCGCTGGCTGAGCGAGCGGTATCCCGCGATCTCTATGTTGATCGCGGAGAACCGTATACCGGAATTCGACAACCTATACCTGGATATGAATGGCATTATTCATAACTGTACACACAAGGACAGCGATTCACCGACTTTTCGCATGACCGAAGATAAGATGTTTATCGCTATTTTTAACTATATCGAGCATTTGTATGGCAAGATCAAGCCTAAGAAGCTCTTCTTCATGGCAGTCGATGGTGTGGCTCCGCGAGCCAAGATGAACCAGCAGCGTGCTCGACGTTTCCGGACGGCTTTGGATGCTGAGACGGCCAAGGAGAAGGCAATTGCTCAGGGTATCGAGATGCCTAAGGAGGAAGCTTTTGACAGCAACTGCATTACACCCGGTACTGAGTTTATGGCCAAGTTAACCGAGCAATTGAAATACTTTATCAACAAGAAGATCTCCGAAGACAAGGATTGGCAGGGAGTCGAGATTGTGCTTTCTGGCCACGAAGTTCCAGGTGAAGGTGAACACAAGATCATGGAGTACATCCGGCATGCGAAAGCACAGCCTCTCTACGACCCTAACGTCCGTCACTGTTTGTACGGCCTTGACGCTGACCTGATCATGTTGGGGCTTCTGAGTCACGATCCCCACTTTTCCCTGCTTCGTGAAGAAGTCACCTTCGGTCGTCAAGTTCAGAAGAAATCTAAGGAGCTTGAACACCAGAACTTCTTTCTTTTGCATCTGTGTATGGTTAGAGAATACCTGGAGTTGGAGTTTCAGGAGTTGGAACAGGAAGGTGTTTTGAGCTTTCCCTTTGACATGGAAAAGGTTATTGACGATTTCATTCTAATGGCTTTCTTTGTTGGAAACGACTTTTTGCCCAACTTGCCCAATCTGCATATTAACGAGGGTGCTTTGGCATTCATGTTCAAGATCTATAAGGAATCATTGCCCAAGATGGGTGGCTACATTAACGAACAAGGTGTTATCAAAATGGACCGACTGGGCATCCTTTTGGATGCTCTGAGCGATGTCGAGTTCCGTTTCTTTGAGCACGAGTACTCCGATGCGCAGTGGATTCGGGCCAAGAAAGGCGATGTCACAGAACCTCAGGAGAAGCCCAAGGGTTTCACGATCACTCCTGCCCAGAAGGAATTATTCAAGCAGGTCAAGAAGTACGTTCTGAACCGACCTGGAAAGGCAGCAGAAACGAAGCCTCTTGACTTTGCTTCTTCATTGCCGGCTCGTGACCGCAAGTTTGTGGAGCAGCTGGCAGATGACCTTCGGCTACCGTGGACGACCGTCGCAGACGAACATGGTGATCGCTTCATCCGCGTGCAGCTCCCTGGAAATGATAATGACGACAGCGATGATGAGGATGAAGAGGCTTCCGTTGCGGTTCAGCGAATTATCCGAAGATACGATAACGCAAAGGTCCAGGAGCTATCACCCGAAGAAGCCCAACAAGCGGCGGAGAAGAAGTATGAAGCGAAGTTCCAGGAATGGAAGAATAATTACTACGTCGGCAAGTTCGGCTGGGGGCTTGATAGCCATGAGGAGATGAGGGAGTTGACGGAGAACTATGTACAGGGTCTCCAGTGGGTTCTGTACTACTACTACAGAGGCATTGCATCCTGGCCGTGGTTCTTCAAGTATCACTACGCACCGATGATCTCCGGTAAGTGTCGAACCTCTGCAGAGACCTAGTGTTTTGACTGACTCTTCACAGACGTAAAGAAAGGTCTCAATGCAGAGACCAACTTCCGACTTGGCAAGCCCTTCCGGCCGTATGAGCAGCTGATGGGTGTGTTGCCTGACCGAAGCAAGAAGACTGTTCCTGCGGCGTACCGAGATCTAATGACTTCTCCGGATTCCCCAATCATCGATTTTTACCCACGTGATTTTGAACTGGATATGAATGGAAAGAAGATGGAATGGGAGGCAGTTGTCAAGATTCCTTTCATTGAAGAACGTCGCCTGTTGGATGCCCTCGCAACTAGGGAACACCTGCTGACCCCGGAGGAGAAAGCACGGAATGGATTTGGTGCCAGTCTCAAGTTCACTTACTCTCCGGAGGTGCAGTTCATCTACCCGTCCTCTCTTCCCGGCGTGTTCCCAGACATTCCGAACTGCCACTGCATCGAGAACATTTTCGACTTGCCGACCATGGATGGACTTGAGCCGTACATTGGATTGATGGATGGCGTGCAAATGGGGGCTGCAGCGTTGGCTGGCTTCCCTAGTCTGCAGACGCTGCCCCATGTTGGTCAGTTGGGCCACCACGGTGTCACTGTTTTCCAGCAGGAAAGCCGCAATGAGAGCATGGTCATTACATTGCTCGATCCTGGGAGCAGGTCGAGTGTCGAGTTGGCCAAACAAAAACTTGGGCAGCGCGTCCATGTGGGTTACCCATTCTTGCAAGAAGCGCTCGTGATCCGTGTATCAGACGAACTTTTCGATTATATTCTACCGGAACCTACGGGACATGTTGTTTCTATCCCCCATACCCCTGCTCAGATTGATCAATGGAAGAGAAAGGCCGAGCGGATCGAATCGTCTTACAGCAAGAGACTTGGTACCATTATCGGCCCGGTCGAGTCGATGGTGCATGTCCAGCTGCTCAAGGGTTTGATCAAGACCGATGAAGGTGCTACGGTCAAGGAATTCGCCGATATTCCCGGGCAAGAAACCGACTACGCTCTCCAGCTGGTGGTTGACGATGTGATCAACCCCGATCAACGATTCATTGAACGGGAGGCCCTACCCATTGAGGAGGAGTTCCCCGAAAACTCCCGGGCGTTCATGCTAGGAGAATACAACTATGGACGGCCCGTTCAGATTACGGGTCATGATCATGGCAAGGTGAATGGAATGATTGCAGCGGTGAAGGTTCGGGAACCGGAGTTTGGAAGAGACCGAGCCAGGGATGCTGAGAAGCTCTGTCCTTACATGCCGTCATACGCCATTGCTCGTAGCTTGCGGCTTAATCCCTTGGTTCTAGCCAAGATCACCTCGTCGTTTTCTGTTGACGTCGAAGGGCAGCGTGTCAATCTGGGTCTCAATTTGAAGTTCGAGGCCCGGAAGCAAAAGGTTCTCGGCTATTCTCGCCGTGGAGACTCTGGCTGGGAATTCAGCCCTAAGGCCGTAGAGCTCCTACAACAGTATATGATCAAATTCCCCGAGTTTATCGCGGGCATTCAGCGCAATCCGCAGAATGATCGGTACACTCCTACGGACTTCTATCCTGAAGAGACTGCCCTCTTGAAGATGAAGGAAATTCGAGACTGGTTGAAGTCAATTGAGGCGAAGAACTTCGAGCGTGTCCCTCTGGATGCAGAACAGCTTGATTCTGACCTCGTGAAGTTGATCGAACAAGATGCCGACCAGCTGCTCCAGAGCATGCCACCCATGGAAGTGAAGGCGGTCCGTGGCCTGCCCCGCAGCGCCCTGCTGCGGCCGTCCGACGTTGAGCAGCGACTTGGAAACCAGACGTTCAAGCTGGGAGATCGGGTCGTGTATGCTCAAGATTCCGGCAAGGTCCCCATCGCCACTCGAGGCACTGTTGTCGGCCTTACCCGGACACCACGGGCCCTTCTCCTTGATGTGGTCTTTGACGTCTCGTTCATGAGCGGTACCACGCTCGGCGACCGCTGCTCTCCGTTCCGAGGTCAGACGGTTCTGGCGTCTTCGGTGCTGAACGTCTCCTACCGGCAGCTGACTGTCAACACGCGTGCGTCAAACAGCGCGCAAAAGCAGTCCCAGCAAACGCCCTTGACTGTTGCCGGATATGGTGCTCCGCTTGGGCCCGGTGGGCAGGGACAGCTGAGAGAAGCCCCGGCCCCACCGCCCTTGGGTAATTCCTACCGCGGCGCAGTCTCCGGCATGGGTAATGGTCGCGGACGTGGACGTGGTGCCTCCAATGGCGTGGGTGCTCAAACCACGTTGCCGTTCCGGCCTCAGCCCAACGGAGCATCGCCAGCCGGTGGTCGAGGCCGAGGAGGCATGAATGGAGGCGGCCGTGGTGGGCGTGGAGGTCCGGCGCGCACGCGAGGCGGATATGTCGCCGTGGACAACGACCCGGAAGCCGGGGTGCTCAACCATAATCCGAACTTCCGGCCCAAGAACTACTCGCAAGTGCCACCACCGCAGAGCATCTCTGGACGAGGCCGTGGTCGTGGTAACAACATGCGAGGAGACAGGGGAACTGGATTCCGGGGACGCGGTCGCGGTCGCGGAGCGGCGGTTGCCGGAGAGAATTAGAGTTAGCTGTTGTTATACGATGATGAACGTGGTTGTCCAGCCGTGACGTTGGGATATAGGTTGGCTGGGGTATATACAGAGGATGTAGATGATAGGCAACACCACCAGTGACTCGATACCCAAATGACATGATGGACTATGTACCATGATTGGATTGATTAATCCCCACATTGCATGCAGATAACAGAAAAGGAATAGCAGTAGTGTTAACTAAGCTAAGCATTGACATCACCCCAATGATAATCCGGGGAAAGCCAACATTTACTAGATCATCGGAGATGCCCCGACTCTGCGGAAACGAAGCTGGAAAAGTATCCGAACCCTAAGTTACTATATAGTTTTAACTCCCATCTGATTCCCCATCTTTCCAACTCTACACTTCAGTCAAAAAGCAAGAATACAATGTCCCTCCCCACCTTCGACAACCTACCCCTCGATCCGAACGGCCCCCCAGGAAACGCCTGGGGTCTCTTCGGCCCGGCGAACAACGACCTGGGGATGCTGAATCTACTAACCCCGGAAACCGTTCGACAAGCCGCAACCGAGGAAATCCGCGACGGGGTGCGCATTTCCCTGGATCTGCCACTCAACCGTGTGCGACATTCCAGCTTTAATCGGAAACCGTTCGTCCAGGAACTGATCAATAAGGCGCCGCGGTTCGTCAATGATGATGTGTTGACGTTCAATACCCAGACGAGTACCCAGTGGGATGGGTTCCGGCATTATGGTACCTTTTCCCCTACTGAGTGACTACTCAGATTACTAAATCGTGAGTATGAATGTGTAGGAAACCAAACGCACGGATGCTACTTCAACGGCCATTGTTTGGAGGAGTTGAAGTCGTCGGGTGTATTGGGTATTGATGGTGCGTACTATATACTACCACCACTACCACCTTTAGCCCTACTACTACCCTACTACTACCCATCATGATATATTTACAAACGACCCTGAACCAAAACAACTAAGTATAATAATATGAAAAACAGCATGGGCCAAAAAAGGCGGCATAACCGGCCGAGGCATCCTCCTCGACTACGCGCACTGGGCCAGCACGCACTCCATCCCCCTAACGCCCTTCACAACCAGCAGCATCCCCCTCTCACACCTCCAATCGCTCATGACCGAATACAACATCTAGACTCGTCCGGGGGACATCCTCTTCATCCGCACGGGCTTCACAGCCGCTTTCAATGCCCTTACCCCGGCCCAGGAAGAAGAGCTCGGCAACCGCCCGACGCCTAGCTTCGCGGGCATTGAGAACGGAGAGGCCATGTTGCGCTGGCTATGGGAGAATCAGTTTGCGGCTGTGGCGTCGGATACGCCGAGTTTGGAGCCTGCGCCGATCAAGCATGAAAGGGGGATGACTCTGCATGAGTGGTGTTTGGCTGGGTGGGGGATGCCGATTGGAGAGTATTTTGATTTGGAGGAGTTGGCGACGTATTGTAGGGAGAAGGGGCGGTGGGGGTTCTTTTTGTGTAGTGTGCCGTTGAAGGTGAGTTCATGACTACCATCTATCTATCTATTTGGTGTGTTTGGCGGTGTGGAGTGTGGTTGGTGGGCTAATTGGGATGCTTGTTTGTTTAGGTTCCTGGTGGTGTGGCTAGTCCGCCTAATGCGGTGGCTATTTTGTGATGTACCTATGAGTGTGAGGGATGAGTTGCTTGGGGCGGGGGGATAAAGATGGACTGTTTGGTGTCTGGGGTATGAAGAGAACTGCTTGAGGGAGATGGTATATATAGTTCATGTTGTTTGGTTGTCAGTTTCCTTCCATGTACATGTATGTCCATGGGAGACTCGGCAGCGGTGTAGAGCTGTGATATTGATTTGATATGCGGGCTTTACTACTACATAAATACTAGTAGGCAACCGAACAGAAGATTACTTCTATTATACTCATATATTCAGTATACGGTCAACTAGACCTATAAACACAGCAATACTCCCAACTTTTTGCTGTCCCTCTTTTTTGTATCTCCAGGTATACCACAGATCAAACGCCAGGCGCAAATGCAAAGCAAAGCAGAAAGACGGCTGAGAGAGTGAACACAGAACGAACAGGAAGGTCTAAGATTACAGGGGACAAATACAAGCAAACATAACAATCATTCAAGACCCACCCATTCTCCTTCACCCTCTTCGTTCGAATCAGCATCGGACATCTTCTCGTCGTCCGCATTCCTCTCAAGAGTCTCACCCAGCGCCCTCATGGCCAGATCAGGCTTCTTGTTTCCGGCAAGGACCGGCCTTGAAAGGAGGTAGTTGAGGTTGTGGATGTTCTTCTCAGTGAGTCGCTTCAAGCTGTTGTTGATCTCGTCGATGGCGCGCTGTACCGCACGGAGCTCGGGCGCGAAGCTGCCCGAGTTCTCCTTAAAGTATCGGCCGTGGTTGCTGAAAAGCGCTTCGATCCACAGCAGGTTGAACTCGAGATGGGGCGTTTCTTCCGCCGCATGGGCTACGAAGCGGAGGAGGCGGGGAAGGTAGACTGTAGGCACCGAGCGGACCACATGGGTGATTTCGGAGGGAGGGATGGCTTCGTGGACCGCCCGGATGAGTTTCTGCTCGTTCAGACGGAAGGCCATGATGAATGCCTTCAGGAAGGTGTCATCGTCGTTCACTTCACCCGTTACAGCGGCTCGCTTGGCGCCTTCCAGGGTGGCCAGGATGCTGGACGGTGTGATCGAGATGTCCAGATCATAGGGATCGAAGACAAGGTCCGAGTCCAAGCTGTAGATCAGCAGTCCTTCGGTGGAAGCTGCACAGAATGCACGGCCGGTAGGCGAGAAGTCGACTGCCGTGACGCGGACCTCGGGACGAGTCGTACGGACTCCGGGGTCGCCACGCTTGGCTCCAGGCAGGTTGCGGTCCACACGGGTCTCGTGGTCGGAGGCTTCACCGGTTTCATCAATAAGGCCGCGCGGGCCAACTTCAGTCATATCACGGCTGTTGAGGATCTCCTGGGTTCCATCAAGGGAGGTGTTGACCGACACGGTATACTTCTTCAGCATAGAGCCCGTCGCCACGTCGTACAGGCAAATGTACTTGCTGTTTCCAGCAGCGAGAATACAACTACCGTCAGAGCTGTACCTGATGCAACGGAAGGACTTGGTCCCGGCAGCGTTAGCAGCCGTTTGACGGTCGGTGATCTTGCGTCCGCCGGACACATCACGGCGACCATCCACTCCACCGACCTGCACGGCATTCTCCACCGACCAGAAACTCAGCTGTCCGTCCAAGGTGGACGCGGCGACCTGCTTTCCATCAGGTCGGAAAGCCACACTCAGCACATCCGCCTGGAGCTGAAGCGGCTCACTGGTTTGTGTCCGTCCGAAAATGCTCCACACACGCACGGTACGATCCCAACTGCCGGTCACCAAGTGACTGCCGTCTGCAGCAAATGCCATGGTAACAATGGGACCTTCATGACCAGCCAACTGGTCAAGCAGCTGACCAGTCTGTACGGACCAGATATGGATGTCGAAGGAGTCCGGAGATCCGGCGCAGACAACCTCACCACTGGGGTCGACAGCAAGCGATGAGAAGGACAACCGGGATGGAGCGGTGAATGTGCGGAAGTTTCGATAACGGATGAGATCCCATGCTCTTACCGAGCCGTCCAAAGAGGCTGTGAACAGAACATTTCCTTTCTTGGAGAACTCGCACGCCGTGACTCCACTCGTGTGTTCCGTAAATGTGACAAGGCAGAAGCCAGACTTGACGTCCCAGACCTTGATCTTTCCATCATCTGCCGCAGTGACAATTCTTTGACCGTCAGGGGAGTAGGCCAATGCATTCATGGAATCAAGGTGGCCTTGTTGCTTCAAGATGTAAGACTCTGACTGCCACTCCCAGACCAACAGCTGTCCATGCTGGGAGGAGCCAAACGCCAGCCACTCACCCGACTTGTTTATCGTAACGCAGTCGATGTTGCTCTGGGAGACACTAGACGCGAGTCAGCTCTGTAACTCAGTATTTAGCCGATGATCACATACCTCAACTGATGGATCTGATTGAATTCCGGGAGGTCATAGAGTCCGAACAGACCGTTCGAGAACCCGACAACCAGCAAGTTGGTGGACGCATGGAAGGCGGCACAGTTGACCTTGGCATCGTTCTGCATGAAGAAGTCCTTCTTAACAATCCTCCAGCGAGCCTCCGCGATATCATCCATCGTTTCTGGGTCCTTCTTGGTCACATATTCCCATCTGAACAGGGCTCCGTCCGAGCTGACTGTGTAAATCTATTTGCGATTAGCTTAAGCTCAATCACTCCTGCGCGCAGACTTACCGATTCTTGATCAGCAGAGAAGTATGCTGCCTTCACGCCCTGGCGATGACCGGCCAGTGTAGTGGGCTCGAAGCCCTCCTCGGGGTCCATACTCCATACCCGGGCCGTCAAGTCCCTGGAAGCTGTGAGCAAGAAGCGGGAGTCGCTGGACCACTCGATGTGCTGGATCACGTCGAAATGACCGGCAAGGTCACGGTGCAAGACGAAGGGGGCAAATTCAAGCTCGCCATTGTTGTCAGTGCCTGGTGTCGTCGGGGTGTTCCAGAACTGCAGGCGTCTTCCCACTCCGACGGCGAAGTGACGACCAGACGGGGAGAACTGAAGCGCGGAGACACGGCCTTTGAAGGAGAAGTGATGAATGACAATTCGGCGGAGGAAGTTGGTCAAGATAGCGCGACCATTCTCATCAATGGTCAGGAGGAGGTTGCCGCGAGGTGAGAGAGCAACACGGTCAATGTTGGTGCGGTGCGCAAAGGGAAGGGTATAGGAGGTGTTGCTGCGGGGAGGGGCGCATCAGTATACGTTGTCTGTATCTGACAGCATAGGAAGAATCGATAGACATACTGGACTAGGTCGAATACCGAGACCTGATTGCCCACTGGGGAGATCAAGCAGGTGCCATCGGGCGTAAAGAGCAGATTACCTTTGCGATAGACCGTACCCAGTAGGTTGGAGAACTAGACGAGAGATGTTGTTAGGTCATTTTCCAGCACTTTCAGTCCCCCCTTCGCTGCGAGGTCACATTCAACCTAAAGACGCCAAATCAAATGAGCTCACCTTGAAATCTGTCTTCATTGTCGCCAACCGAATCCGTTTGCACGTCAATCAGCAAGCGCTTTTCTCTGCCATCCGGACGATCTTCAAAAAAATCGTCTTGCCAAAAGCGGGCGATAAGAGCCGGGATCAACAGTTGCTCCGGTCCCGAGACGTTAGTCTCCAATAGTGCTAGCGCCATCCGGGGCCATAGCGTCTGCACTAAACCCGATGAGGCAAGGAACTATCGTTTCAACTCTGCCTGAGGCTGCCAACATCCCCGGGTGGGCTGGTCACGCCGGTTGTGTTTGCAGGTGTTTGCCTGGGGGGGATTCAGGGGCAGCCAACCCGACCAGCCAACCAGCCAAACCAACCCAGTGCAAGAAGAAGAAGGCACGTCCTCCAAGTTCCATCCACGCCAGTCCCTCTTTCCCCTTCACGCCCACCCTCCAACAGGCCATTGCTTCCCTTATCCTCGCCTTGTCTTCTTCCCCATCTCTCGTTGCTTTTCCCTCGTACCGTTGGCCCTTCTCCTCCAGGCCTGGGTTGTCGTTTGTCTTTATTTACTCCCGCTGTTTAGCTCTGTTTAATTGAGTTCCAACTCACCCCTTTATCATCATGTCCTCCACCGAGACTGCCTCCCCCATTGGCATTGCCAACGTAAGTTATGGACCATATTCAACCTCCAAAACAAGATCCGAAATCTCATTCTAACATCGTTTCTCAATAGCTCCCCAACCAGCGGTATGTGTCGCCAGATGCGCGCCAACTCATGATATATTCTAACCAATCTATTCAGGCACAAGATTGTCGCCAAGCGGGGTGCGGCCTTCACTATCATGGTTGGTTCATTCGGGATACTGTCGAGGGAAGAAGCCCGATGCTCATCAATTCATACAGGTCGCTGGTGAATCCGGCTTGGGAAAGACCACCTTTATCAACACCCTGTTCTCCACCACCATCAAGAACTACGCCGACCACAAGCGCCGTCATCAGAAGCAGATTGACCGCACTGTCGAGATTGAGATCACCAAGGCTGAGCTGGAGGAGAAGTTCTTCAAAGGTTCATACACACCACACCCTCACCGCTGGACTGGTTGCTAACGCTGCGGGTTGCCTCCCGCTCTAGTCCGCCTGACCGTCATTGATACACCCGGATTCGGAGACTATGTCAACAACCGTGACTCTTGGCAACCGATCATTGAGTTCCTCGACGACCAGCATGAGTCGTACATGTTGCAAGAGCAGCAGCCTCGCCGTACGGACAAGATCGATATGCGTGTGCATGCCTGCCTGTACTTCATCCGCCCCACCGGACACACCCTGAAGCCCCTCGACATTGAGGTCATGAAGCGCTTGAGCTCCCGTGTCAACCTTATCCCCGTCGTTGCCAAGGCCGATACCCTCAGCCCCTCGGACCTGGCCGTTTACAAGCAGAGAGTGAGCCACCCAGCTATTGCCCCGTGCTGAAGAATGGAAGTTAATCACAGGTTATCATATTAGATTCGTGCTGTTATCGAGGCCCAGGGCATCAAGATCTACACCCCCCCTGTCGAGGAGGACGATGAGCATGCCGCCGCTCACGCGCGCACCCTCACGGCTGCCATGCCTTTCGCTGTTATCGGATCCGAGAAGGACGTCAAGACCACCGACAACCGGGTCGTCAAGGGTCGTCAATACGCTTGGGGTGTTGCCGAAGTTGAGAACGAGGACCACTGCGATTTCAAGAAGCTTCGCTCGATCCTAATCCGCACCCACATGCTCGACCTTATCCACACTACCGAAGAGCAGCACTACGAGGCCTACCGCGCACAGCAGATGGAAACCCGCAAATTCGGCGAGGCCCGCCCCAGGAAGCTGGACAACCCCAAGTTCAAGGAAGAAGAGGAGAACCTGCGCAAGCGTTTCACCGAGCAGGTCAAGGTCGAGGAGCAGCGGTTCCGCCAGTGGGAGCAGAAGCTCATTGCAGAGAGGGATCGCCTCAACAAGGATCTGGAGGCCACCCATGCTGCGTAAGTCTGCCCGAGTTCTCGTTTATAACCGCACGATGCTAACCGCCAACAGAATCAAATCGCTCGAGCAGGAGATCGAGGGGCTGCAGGGCTCTTCTACTCGCAGCCATGGACGTCGTTAAGATACCAGAGGACCACCGGACACGACCGTGGGCCTGTAACGGACTGTGGAAAAAGCAGAAGAAATGTGCTTTCGTCTCGACTAATATCTTTACATCTGACTACCCCTTTAAATGTTTTCCTTTCCTTTTGATTTTCGGATTTTGCGCGCTCAGGGGGACCATGCAACCTGGGTAGAGATTGACGCCCAGAGTTGTCTGGTGATTTTGCTCTTCTGATTTGCCTGCTGGTAACTAGCGATGGTTTGACTACATCTTCGATAATAACCCACTTGTACTCCGTAGCATGTCAATACAGATTTAATTATGTGCATGTGCTGCAGAGAAATAGAAAAAAGAAAAGAGAAAAAAGAAAGTATGAACCGTTGGTTCCCGTTGATCCGCAGGAATGCGGAGTAACTTTGGCGGATTTGCTTGAAGCTAAAATAATATGGACCCCGCCGGCGGTGAGCCGCGCCCATCGGTTTTGTCTCCAACTTCCGCATTCCGGCCTTCACGTTGGATGTCGAGCAGTGAACAATCTCCGATCCCGCACAGCTTCACTACGCTTGTTGCTGAGAGCTTTCCCTCGGTCCTTCAGAAAGATTGCCAATGCCAGCAATTAAACAGTTCCCCACCCAACTGGCCCACACCCTTAAAACCCACAATGGTCAGCTAGCTCCACGCCTTACGCTCTAGAAGCTCTAGATCCCCTCTGACGTACCTCAGGCCCCGTGAACGCTGTGACCTTCTCCAGCTATCCTGGAACCTATATCCTCACCGGCTCGACAGATCGTGCTATTCACCTCTCCCGGGCTATTCCCAACAATAACAATGCCTCTGCTGCGGAGACAACGTCCCCAATCCAGAAGTATGAGGCGCACGGGTACTCCGTGTTAGACATTGCCGTCGCAGCAGACAACTCCCGGTTCGCCAGCGTTGGTGGAGACCGCCAGGTCTTTCTGTGGGATGTCGAACAGGGAGGAACAATCAGACGCTGGAGTGGACACAATGCGCGCGTTGAGGCCGTCCAATTCGCAGGCGAAGATGACTCTGTAGTGGTGTCTGGTAAATTCGTCCCAATTCTAATTAACGCTTTTCTTCGCGACCACTGACTGATTTTGTGTGCGGTTTAGGCAGCGCAGACACAACTATTAACATCTGGGATACCAAGTCCAACTCCTACAAGCCCATCCAGACCCTCACCGAAGCCCGAGATACCGTTTCCTCCTTACACGTGCACATGCCCACATACTCTATCGCAAGTGCAAGCTACGACGGCCGAGTCCGAGTATACGATATTAGAATGGGACGCACCCTTGTCGATGTTCTCGCACACCCTGTCACTAGTGTTCGCTGCTCTAATGACGGCAATGCTCTTTTAGCATCTACAACAGACGGGCGCATCCGAATGCTGGACCGGAGCGACGGCAAACTATTAAAGGCTTTCGGCGGCGACGATGTCAGTTCGAGTCAGGGTAATAGCAATGCCACATATCGCAAAAGCGACCTTCGAATTCGCTCTATATTCGCGAAAGCGGACGCCATTGTCCTCAGCGGGAGTGCGGCAGATGACTCCGGCAATGGCAATGGTGCTACACAGGCGTCCGTATTCGCCTGGGATGTGCTCAGTGGAGAAGTGGTCGCGTGTGTCCCAGCCGGACCAGGCGTCAAGGCCGTGAGTGCTGTATCGTGGAATGAAAAAGGAAATTGCTGGGCTGGTGGTTGTTCAGATGGTATGTCTCAGCTATCAATGTCTATTTTCGTTTGTGCAACCCTCCTTTCCCTTTCATAACCACTACTATGCATTCTGTCCTCGTTTTCAAACTCTACACTGTACCTGTTTTTCTCACTACGTGGCGCATTGCACGTGGCTAACCATCTGTCCCTCTGCTTACTGGTAACCCATCAGGAACCGTCAAAGTCTATCGCTAAGTTTAGACTGTGTTGTCCGACCCTTGCCCAGCTAGCTAGCCGAGAGCTAGCAAGCTAGAGTCCAGCCACTCATCAACTAATCCCGACAAGACAAGACAAGACTACAATACCCCAGCAACCCAGCCAGCCGGTCAACAGGCAAGGTTCCCCATCAGCAATAATCATCATCAGCCACCAGCGCCTACGCACAGACATTCTCACCCTCTTGGCTTAGCTTTGCGCTTCCCTTCCCACCCCTCAATGGCTCGTGTTCCAACCATGACTGGATACCATGCGAACTTATAAGAAAACGCCACCACCACCACCACCACCACCACCATCAACAGCACGTGTAGCGTGTAGCGCTTATCAATGCACACCAATGTGAACGGATGTTCTCAGCCTTGTTGCCTGCATTCATCCCCTAACAAGTACCGCTTGCTGGCTACTTGCTTACTTACTTTCCGTCCTTGCCCGCCCATTCTCTTCTTCCTTCTCGGATATCGCCGGCAAGAAAATAAAGATAGATAGATAGATTGCGTTGCGTCGCCTCGCATTGCATCAGCTGTCGTGATCATCAGATAGGTGGTGCGTGCACCCACGCCACTCCACTCCACTCCACCAGACCAAATGACAAAAAAGGAGGAGAATAATAAAGTACCGACGCTACGCTACTTACTGTTCTTGTTTGTCTGCCGAAACAGGGAATAGGTTAGGTTAGGTTAGGCCAAGTCCCGCTATGGTGTGGTGTGGTATGGTGTATCGGTGTAAGTAGCGACTACGTATCCATCTGTTCAATGATTGGATCAGTGTGAGAAGGTGGAGAAACATTGAGCAGGCTGAAGCTTTTTATTTTCCTGCAGTTCTGTTTTACTGCTCACGAGGCATTTCAGCCTGTGGTGACAGACAGACACAGTGCGGTGGCGGGTATTGTCGTTGCTCATCGCTCGCTCGCTCGCTCAGCCTCAAAGGAGCGCTTGGATTGTCTGAGCGCATAACTATCCTCTGCGCAACCAATTGCGGAAGGACGAGTCTACTGAGCGATTTTAATGACGCGGATACGGTTTGGTTTGGTTGGAAGTAAAACAGGATTGAGGCTCTACAGTAGATCCGACTTGAGGATCAATGATTTCTCATCGTGAAAAATCTGTCTGTTATTCTTCCATACAATGTCCAATCACCCATATGCAGTTTAGACCAGGGAATATAGAATCGTCAGCCATGCTAGATACAAACCACGTATATCCGCCTTAGAGTAATCCAAGGATCAAACCCGGGTCGAATGAACCCAAATAGACAACTCCGACCTCGCTTGCTAAAGTATTGACAGTGTTGGGAAAAGTGGAAACATTGTGTCGTGGTTAGAGAAAGTAGAGAGAAGAAATTGTATGTCGCAGATCATGAAAGAAGAAAATGCATATATTTCGATACATGAGACTTTTCGGTATGTATGCAGCGTAAGCCCGAGCTGCAGTTTGCTAGAAGGGAGAGTGCAAGCAAGAAAAGGTCAATGCAACAAAGGGAAAATAAGATGATGCAGCATTTTTGGTATCCGTTTGAGCATAATTCATTAAGAAAACGAGTAAGAATCGAAACAACATAAGGGAATTGAGCGTGGTTGCTACGCTGAATAACTGAAAATCAAGAATAAGCAGGGTGAAAAAGAAGAGTCAATGCAAAACAAGTGGATCAAGAAACTTTTTGTTGTAAGCAGTATGAGTTCAAAGTTCGAGGGCCGTGATTCCTGCATCGGGTTCGTGGCTTTCCGCTTCGAGGGCGTCGACTGCACGATGAAGCTCGTGTTCGCCCACAATGATGGAACCCGCCCGCGCAGTGCTAAGAAAGCTGATCTCGACGGCGTCCATGTATGGGTCCATGTCTGGCTGCAGACGATGGGTTCTGTAGCCGGGGCTAGTGCCGAAGGATCTGACAGGTCCACCGGAGCCGTGGCTAGAGGACAGGACATTTTTGAAGGCACTGTCGAAAGAGGAGCCACCGCCGTTCCAAGAATGGGAAAGAATCGTGGATACGTCAGTATCCTCATCGCCCCGTGCGTGCGTCGCGTCGGCCAGTCGGCCAGCAACTCCGCACACAATACCTGAAGCTTCCAGCGGAAGCTTACGTAGGTCGAGCATGATGGGAACAAGAACCTCTTCCTTAGATCCCAAAAGAAGACTTGTATCGTCATCCGAGTCGGTAGCCGCAGATGAGTCACTTGAGAAGCGGGGGAGAAGACGCTTTTCCAGCAAGAGTGACGCCGCGGGGTCAGCAGCGGTTAGGGTGAGAGAGAGGAACCGTGGCTTATCGACGATCAAAGCTGTCGTGAGGGCTTCACGGAGGATGGCAATGGAGCTTGTATCGCTCGTGTAGCGGTGATGCGCGGCGCATTGCACTAGACGCAGGGTTCTGTCAACGGATGGGACAATTTGGTGCTTCCGCAGCGAGCTAAACGTGCGCGCTTGCAGTTCATCCAGCGACGAGGGTGGCGGAGTGGCAGGAGGGGAGCTCAAGCTGCTCGCCGACCGGGACGAGACGGGACTAAAGCAGCTGTTGAACTGGGATTGGTTGTTGTTGACGAAAGCCTCCGTTGACATTTCGAAATGAAAGCCACGCTTCTCCAAGGCTTCAATAACCTGGGTCTTGCTTCGAAGAGGCACGATGATGTAGTCGGAAAAGTACGTGGAGATGAAGAAGATAGAGCTACAGCATGTCAGCCAGAACGTTGCACAAACTCCTAAAGGTCAGCTGCACCATACATTCCTGCCATGGCCAGCGGGCTCGTAAGCTCGAGGACCCGTTGGCCAGCTTCGAGGCCCTCTCCGTACACCTGCATGGCAATAAAATCATCATGGCTGATGGAGAGGCGGCTTTGGCCCGAGGAACTGCTCTGAACGAACTTGTTGACCAGAGGAGCGAAGTATTCATTAGCAAGCTGTCTGGGGCACATGATCGAGCATTCCACAGGGGTGATTGAGAAGTTCAAAAATGCCGGCTGGTGGCGTCTATGCCCCTCTGAGTACCCATCGTCCTCTTCCATTTGGTTCTCGGAGATAGGAGGCACCTCATGGAAGAGAATCTGCATGATCGGATTCAAAAAGAAGGGATATAGGTCTAGAGGGATATGCACCAGGGCCAGCCTGTCTTCCTGTATTTCGACAATAGTGGTTAGCAAGATTAGTCTACCAGGAGGGAATTCCATGCTGCTCCGCGTAGATTTGGGGGCATCGGTGCAGTAAAGGAGACGGCATGATGGCGATGGTACTTGAAGACTTACCATGAACTGGACCTGGGCAGAGATGAGAGATAATGACTGTTCCATCATGGTTGTCGATATCCAGATGACGTATTTGCATCAGAAGATCGGGATCATGCACAATCGAATGAGTGCGAGTTCAGTGTATGTGACAAGTAGTAGTAGTTAAGGTGCTCAAATCAGCTGCCGTCACCGAATATCCACAAACTCAGGCGACAGACTGGTTTTAGTGATGCCAGGTGGATACTAAACCGGGCATACGAGAGAAGAGAAAAGGAGAAGTAGTCACGATCGGAAGTATGATGATGATGTGAAAGGCTGGCACCAGGCAATACAGGGTGAGGCAGGTGAACGGGACCAGTAACGTGTGGCGCAGGGCAACTCGAATCCTCTGGTGACAGCGTGAGTGGTCGGTGGGTTTCTTTATGCTTTTCTTTTCTTTTTGCGCTTGAGAGTTCTGGATGGCAGACAGCTTGCTTTCATTGTTTTCCAAACCCCCTTGGTTACGCCATTGTTTGAAAGAATGATATCAATGAGAGCCAGCACGCAAGAAGGGAGGAAGATCTAATCAGAGAGAGATGGTGCGGGATAGACGCAGCACGGGGGATCGGGTAGAGCAGGAAAGCGGAGGATGGTTTGAGAAATGAGAAAGACCAAATAAGGAGGTAGTGAGAACTGGAGAGTAGGTGGAAGGGAAGTTGAAGTTGTCGTGGTGGTTGATTCTCGAGAGGGGAGAAGAAGAGAGAAGAGCAGGTGACTTGAGCTTCTGGTCTTCTTCCTGCACTTCCTCTTTCTCTTTCTCTCCTCCTCACTTCTAATTCCTCGGCAACCCTCGAAGTTCCCCTTTCTTTCCTGTCTCACTTTCCCTCAATCCCTTTTGCTTCAGACTGGTTCAATTACCTGTCTGTCTGTCTCCAGTTGACTTTGAAAATGTTACACTTCAACCGCCACACCGGAGATCCGCTGAACGACCCGGCGGAGTCAGCCTTCCCCAAGGTACGACACCGGGGGATCAAAAAAAAAAAAAAAAAAAAGAAGAAGAAAAGAAAAGAAAAGAAAAGGGCTAAGGCACACTTGACAGATGAGGGGAAGGAGAGGGAAAAGAAAATGAAAATAGAATTAAAAAAAAAAATAAGAAGCAATCTGTTTGAGCACTGACTGATTGGCGGTTGAGGCACGTCGTCTGCTTCTTTTGCGCGCCGCCAGAATGACTCCTCTTATCCAGACTTTAAAAGCAAAAGATCAGACGAACCTTTTACCTAATAATCCATCCGTGGGAACACACCCAAATCAGCGTCTCGGCTTTATCTCCAGCTCCACCGGACCCAGCACCTTATCAGCAGCACCAGCAAATCCCCTCGATCGCCACCCCGCGCTAGGCGCCGGTACCGACGTTGCCCTGTGCTCTCCGGTGCATCATTCAGGCGCACGGATCGAAGCATTAATCTAATGGCTGATGTCTGGCGGGAGCAGGATTCGACGGTCAGAGCGAGGCAGGATTTCCTCTGCTGCTGCTCATCGGCTCCCCGCACTTTGCAGGGGCAAGGATGTTGTGCGATGAACGTGTGGGAGTGTAAGCTAGTCAGGCACCACGGTCGCTCCAGTTCCATCCATCCGGTCACACAGATGATCCTGCATTGCATCGGAGAAGCACAACCATGAAGTTCGTAGATGAGGCACTAATCCGCAAGTTACTACTACAAAGTATTAGACTAAGGGGAAGGTCGGAATGGGCTCATGGACTCGTTATCGCTTCCACCAGGCGCCA